GACCTTCTTAAAAGAAAAAAAAAGTAAAATGATGATAAAAAAAAAACAGAATACAAAACTATTTCAGAAAACTTAAAGATCCACGATGAAAAAATCTTAGTATTCAATGTAACCTGGAGAATCAAAACAAGAATACTAGGATGACTAATTTGGAAATAATGTTTACAACTTATTGAAACGCCCTCTTAGAAAAAAGGTCATAGCCTTTGATGCGGAGGCAAATTCTGACTACAATAAGTCAAAGCTTTATTATAAACACCTCCATTCCTAAAATATCAGTTTTTCTAACATTTACAACAGCCTAAACTAGCTAACAACTGGGATCAATCATTCTCTGAAGGAAAACATTTGAGATCAATTTGGCTACTTGATTTAAAGGTCATTTCAATCCTGCGACCTCACTACTCTATTAGCTAAACGTCATGTGCCTTTTTTCTCTAGAAATTTCCCTTCAATCTGAGTTCGACGATTGACGCCCTTACCGTACGACTGCTCATTCTTCACACTGAACGGCTCGGGGATGTCCTCCTCCTGCTTTACGTTCAGATGGAAGGACGGGGCCGCCTCCTGCCACTGCGGCTTCGTGCTCACCTGCGAGGCGACAGGCAGACAGCAGCAGTGACACCAGAGGCGAAAAGACACTCCTCCCGTGGAATGCACGCGTGTTTGTAAACACAGACACTTTCTCCAAGGAGCCACATACACAGAGACTGACCGAGAGGGGACGGTGGCTGCCAGGAGCTGGGGACGGAGAACGGGGAGGGATTGTTTCCTGGGGGACGTTTCAGTGTGGGAGGAGAGGAGAGTTCTAGGACTGGACGGTGGTGGCGGCTGCACAGTGATGTGAACATGCTTTGCCAGGGAACTGCAGTTCACTGTAAAAGACAGTACATTTCGCGCGGTGCACGTTTCATCACAGCTCTAAAGCCACCGGGTGTGCATCAGCCTGCACTGAGGTTCTGCTTCCAGGAGGCACAAGAGCATAGCCCCCTGGCATCGAACTCAACGTGGTCCCTCGACGGTAAAGCTCATTACGGTCAAGGCCATTTGCGGTGCTGTTTTCAGCACGATCGGCTGGACGTGTCTACAGCGGCCTCTTCCAACGGGGAGTGACAATGAAAGAAAGGAGGAGGGTCCCCCACCTGAGCACGCCTGGCTGGCACTGCCCGCGGGAGCCACATCTCAAGGCTCCTCACGTCACCCCTGTTCACACTCACTCACACTCACTCACGCTCACACTCAGCAGCTGAGGCTGGGGAGCCACGCGCCCCCTCGGGTCACGGAGCCATGATGACCCCGCGGCACCGGGGGCCTCATTTCCTGACCCCAACGCCGATGTCCTGTGTGTCCATCTTAGAAGTTCTCTCACCCAGGTCAGTGGTCGGCGACCGGGGGCCCGCGAGCCACATGCGGCTCTGTGGCCCCGTGAGTGTGGCTCTTCCCCAAAATCCCACGTGCGGCCGCGCATGTACAGTGCGACTGAAACTTTGTGGCCCGTGCGCAGAAGTCGGTATTTGGTGGGAGAGCCACACTCAAGGGGCCAAAGAGCCGCATGTGGCTCGCGAGCCTCAGTTCGCCGACCACTGACCTAGGTCATTCAAACGCTCCGTGCATAAGGAGGAAACCATGTTTTTATAGGTACTTCACTAAGGTGGTCGTTTTTCCTAATACAGGACCTCAGAGCATTCCTCCACCAGAAAGGGATCAGATGGAGCACAGAATTCAAAACCAGAAGCTTCGTTTCTTACGAGTTTGAAACCAACAGGCGTTCTTAAAGGGCCCGCCTCCCAGGAGAGCGTGGAGGGGCCGTACCGTGGCCAGCTGCGGCAGAAGCCTGGCTGGTTGCTTGCCTCTGTCTTTCTCTTTCTCTCTGCTGGCTGACTTCTCCTGCGGGAAAAAGATGGTGAGGGGAACTTTACTCCGTGGGTGCTAACATCTATTCACTCAACCAACTTTCCGGCCCACTACTATTAAGTAAAGCGCATACTATCTAAAACAGTCGGAGACAGACTTTCTTACTTTTTAAATTCTCAAACGCTGCCTTGGAACTGCGTTCTGGGCAGCCAGGAAAGAAGCAAAACCAGTGGGTCCCTGGCAACGCCAGCCTGAGCGCTTTGAAACGCGTGCGGAGCCCTTTGTCCATCCCTTTACCTTCTGGGACTTTCTCTGAGCCCAGGCAGGGCCCAGGGCTCACTGGGCCCCCTTCCTGCTCCAGCACTGACATCACTCTTGTCCTTTGCACCCAGAATGCCCTCCTTCCTAAGCCGCCAGCCAGTCAGGGTGACACACCCTCGGGCGCCCTAAGTAGCACCTGCACTTTGGGCCACAAGTTGGCCCAGGCGGGAGGAGGCGTGCTGAGGGCCTGCGTCCTGCTTTTCCCAGCTGTGATGTGCGGCCTCTCAGCTCCGACTCGGCCTCTCCTGCCCTCCTTTGTGATTCCTGAGCGGAACCCGCAACCTCTCTCCTGCAGCGTTTCAGCGGCCTG